GTGTGTGTGTGTGTGTGTGTGTGTGTGTGTGTGTTTGACTGGGGATTGATTTTCCTCTCCCACTGAGTTACATCCTAGCACTAAAGGCATTAAAAGTCACTTCATATGGGAAAAACAAACAAAAAAACCCTCATGTTTTAAGTAAGTTTATGCTTTTGTGTTGAGCTGCATTCATACGTACCTGGGGTGCATGTAACCCAGTGGCTGCAGGTCAGACATGACATACCTGAAGGACCTTCCAGAGTAACTGTCTTGGGGTAAATATCCTGGGAAATGAGAACATAGGTAGCAACATGATGGAGGGACTACCTTAAAGGAAGCAGGGTGTGGAGGGAATACATTGGGGTTCTGTGGAAATGTGACAGAGGAGTATACATAAAAAAAAAAGATGAGGGCAGCGGCTGGAGAGGTGACTCAGCAGTTAAGAGTACTGGCTGCTCTTGCAGAGAACAGGGGTTTGATCCCCAGCACCCACATGGTGGCTAACAACTGTCCATGACTCCAGTTCCAAGAGATCCAATGCCCTCTTCTGACCTCTGAGGGCATTGCATGACACAGGTGCACTTACACACATCCAGGCAATACACTCACACACACACAAATAAAAATAAAAACTTTTTTAAAAGAGGGCAATGAAGTTTGAGGCTATAATTCAAGGTAGGAATTTTAGATGTGTGGATTAGAGTGGTTAGGCTTTGAGGATGCATATTTTTGGATTCATGGGCTAGAAGAGAGGCTCCTGAAATGTGTTTGAAGAAGCAAGACACACACCACTGATCTCAGCATTGTTAAACAGCATGTTTATTTCAGGTCCCTCCAGAAGCCCCTAGACAAAGATCCAGATGGAGGCCACAGAGCTGAGAGATTCACCTCACCAAGCAGGAGGCAGTTTGAGTCAGCCTGGATCTAGGCCAACTCACTCTCCACACTCCCAGCTCTTAGAAGTAGGGTTACCCAGAACAAAACCTTCCCAATATATGAGGGCAGACAGCTTCAGGGTCCTCTTGTCTGGGCTGTATCTAGAGGACAGTGGAACAAAGAGGGGTGGGGGAATAGGGCAGCTGGTCCTCTTCCCTGCCCTCCCTGTTGGGGCTATTGTATCTAATAAGGTGACAGGGTGGGGAGAAGCCCTTATCACAGTTGGCCCCAGTCATATCTGTGGAGCACCTCTGAAGGTTCCAGGGACAAAACTTTTCCCCAAATTGCACACATTGTCCAAACAGCAGGACCAGAATAAGGAGGACAGAGCTAGGACACCAGACAAGGGCACTGAGTGGAACCCATAGCAACAAAGCAAAGACTGTCATCCTGCCACTGGGAAGGGGGGGGCAGGTCAAAGCAGAGTGGGGACTAGCAATGAGGTGGGGCAGAGCCCAAGACAAGCCAAAAAGGTGGTCACTCCTGGGCTTAAGTTTCCAGTGGGAAGCTGAGAGTAAACTCCTGCATAAATTTTGCATCCTGGGCACATGATTTCCCCACCCTAATGCTTACCACAAGACCCAAATCAGGAGAGCCAGGGCTTTCATGAGGCCTACATAAGACAAATCTCCAAAAATAACACTTCAGACCAGGACTGTAGCTTAGTGCTACAAGGCTTGCCTGGCATGTGCTTCTGCTGGTGAACAGCTAGATCCCTAAAGATAGAGCTGGCAGCCCAAGTTTTATCCAGGTTCGCGGGACAGCTGTGCCCCTGGAGTCCAGTAAGAGAATGGACAGCCTTAGAAGAAAACTGTCACACCAACTCTTGCGGCAACTCGTTTTATTTCTGGCAGGTCCAGTTCCCAAAGCGGAGGCTCAGGACCCAGAGTAGGGCACAGGCTTGGCAGGGAGCAGCCACGCTTTGGTGGTTTCCTTCTTTATTAGCTGTGTCGTGATCACCTAGGGCTTGGACACATCTGTCTGAATGGGTTGCTGCTCAGCTGCCTGGGAGGTGCCTCCTTCAGCCTCCTCCTGGGTGCCCCGCTTCCACATGCTCACATCAGGAGCCAGCTTCATGGTTTCTGAAGGAACCATGGGCTTCCACAGCACCTGGGACGTGGCCTCGAGGACCTGGGGCGCTGTTAGGGGCCATCCAGAGTCCTCAATGCCTTCATCGTCAGCAGGCTCCAGGCCCTGGGGAGGCACGCGAGTACGATCGGTCCACAGCTCGCCCAGCTGCTCAGCCTCCCTCTCCCAGCCACTGGGCCACTTATCACATGGCCATAGTTTGGGGCTGGGGCTGCCAACCACTTCAGAATGTTTGGGGTGCCTGGCAAGAAAGCGGAACCTGGGGCTGAGGAGTGGCAGCTTTGACCCAAAGGTTGGGGAGGACTGGGCCAGGTTTAAAGTAGGATCAGCGCCCAAAGCACGGAACGGAGCACAGGACTGGGAAGGGTGTCCTGGGGCAAAGACGCGGAGCTTGGCATCTGCGCAGGAGCGGCGGGGTGGGGACCCGTAGGCTGGGGCTCGGACCCTGGCTTGGGTCCTCTGGCCCCGCGGGTGCCCGCGGTATGTTTCCAAGGGGCGTGTTTCGGAGTCTGGGATTAGGACCTCGGTCACAGGCCACACCCAGTGGCGGGGCAGCCGCGCGGGATCCAGGCGCACCGCGGTCGGCTTCCGGGCTGGCGGCACATCCAACCCTTCAGGCTGCTGGGGCGGGGAGGGCTCCTTGGGCATGAGCACCGAGGAGAGGGGCACAGACGCGGATGAGCTGGCGCGGGGCGGCCCGGTGGGCTTGCTCTGGTCCCCTGCAGCATGTGGCTGGGGCACGCAGTGGTAGAGGTCCCGGAGCGACAAACGGGCGCTGAGCGGCGGGCCCTTCTCTGCCGAGGCCTGGGCGCTGACAACCTGGGGCAGCTCTAGGGAAGGCTGGGGACTCCCGGCCGGGGCCATTTCCGGAGAAGGATGAAAAGCCTCCTTCGAGGACCCAACCAAGTCGTGGCCTCCCTGCTGGCGGCCGGGTTCTTCTAAAGCATCCTCGGGCTCGGCTTCCTGAAACAGCTCCCGAGTGGGCGGCCTGCACGGGGTGACGCTCGGCTCCGCAGAAGGCTGTAAAGATTCCGTCGGCTCCCGGGAGTCTCTGTCCAGCCACAGTGCACCTAAAAGGAATTGGTCCGGGTTCCCAGGCTCCTGGGGAAACACATAGAGATAATGAAAGGTCGAAATTGGGTAAAAGGGCCTCAAGCCAAGAGTCCTGAACGGCTCCGAGGAAGCTTGGGTCGGAAGGAGGCTCACGGCTGGGCTTACTTCGCCTTGGAAATGCTCCTCCACACTGTCCGGGGTGGACGCGTTCAACACAGGCACCGAGCCCTGGGCCCAGGTGTCCGTGGTACAGGGCAGGGGCTCCTCGTCCTCGTCCCACGTGGGGTCCTCCGCCACTGCAGATTCTCCTTCGTCCCGGGCCAGGAAGCGCCACTCAGTGATCTGCAGCATGGCCTCCTGGGCCTGGCTAATCGTGAATGGGATGCACTGTGGAAGCGAGGGAGGATCTCAGCCTAACCAGGAGAGGTGGGAGAGGTAGCAGAAGGGTTTGGAAGACCCGGATCTAGGCCCACCTGTTGGGTCAAGTAGACTTTGAAGGCGCACTCCATGACTCGAGCCAGAAAGTCAGCCAAGATATCCTCCATCATGTTCTCGCCCTCCTCCTGGGCCAAAAATGCAATCCACTCTGCCTCACTGAGCCGCCCAGGCACAATGTCCACCTGCGGCACCGGCTGGGCGGGCGGCCGGGCCTTTTCCGCCTTGGATCGGGTCACCCCACGATCTCGAGCCTGCCTGCTCTGTGGGAACGAAACAGGGCGCTCACGGCAAGAAACTAAGGAGTGAGGGACTAGAAGGAAGCTTTTTCAAGGTGTCACTTTACTGTCAAACTGAACAGAAGTTAGCCCTCACCTGCTTTGGTGTAAACAATAAGTGGGTAAGTTATGCTGTAACTCACAGCTTTGTCATTTTCACTGTAATGTCTGGCTCCAGAGAGTTCAATAAACTTGAATATACCTCAATAAGGCCACCAGAATTACTCTTGCTAGTCAGTGTCCTCTTTTTAAAAAACAAAGCAAAAACAGTCTTGCTTTCTAGCCCTAGCTGGCCTGGAACTTGCTATGTAGACCTGACTGGCCTTGAACTTGCAGCAGTTCTCCTGTCTCTGCCTCTCAAATGCTGGGATTACAGGAGTATACCACCACCATGCCAGACTCTCTACATGTTTTACCTTTGTGTGTTGTGTGTATGTGGTCCTGGGATTATATCCAGGTCATCATGTATGCTAGGCAAGTACTCTATCACTGAACTTTTTGCTTTTTATTTTGAAATAGGGTCTCACTAAGTTGCTAAGGCTGGCCTTGAATTCACTCTGTAGTCCATGATAGCTTTGAATTTGCTGTCTTCTTGCCTCAACCTCCCAAGTAGATGGTATGACAGTCCTGCACTACCAAGTTCAGGTTTTGCCCATTATTTTTATTCTCATTTTATATAGATTGCCCAAGATGACACACCTGGCAAGTAGGATAGTCAGAATTCATACACAGGTTTGTCTAACTCCAAAGCCCGATTCTTGTCTCCCAAATGAAAATATTTGCAACAGATATGAAAAAGGAAAAACATGCTCAGATATATTAAAAACTCATTTTTTAAAAAATAAAAGAAAAGCAGGGCCAATGAGATGGCTTATTGGGTAAAGGCACTTGCTGCCAAGCCTTGACTTTAGTCTGATCCCATGGTAGAGGGAGAGAACCAGCTCCCAACAGTTGTCCTCTGACCACCACATGAATACTATGGCATGCCCCCTCTACACAAATAAATGTGACCCAAAATTTTAAAAAGGAACTCTTTTAAGACCCCCAAAATAAGCAAAGACATAATATTTTGCAAAAGAGAAACTGTATATAAGTAACAAAAAATATATATAAAGACAGGCAGAGAGATGGCTCAGAAGTTAAGAGCTCTGGCTGTTCTTCCAGAGGACCCAGGTTCAGTTCCCAGCACCTAACTGTCCTTAACTCCAGTTCCAGGGGATCTGATACCCTCTTATGGCCTCCATAGACATGCACCTGGTATACTTATGTACATATAGGCAAAAAACACTCAAACACATAAAAGAAAAATAAATAAAAATCTTTTAAAATTTTTGTAAAGATGGCCAGGTATGGTGACTCACGCCTGTCATCCCAGCATTCAGGAGGCAAAAGCAGGACTGCCATAAGTTTGAGGCCAGCTCAGACTACAGAGTGAGGCTTATGTCGAAAGCAAGCAAACAAGCAAACAAGCAAAAAGGAAAGGAGAAAAAGAGAAATGAGGCATAAGGGGTATGGAGTAGGAGACACCATGTTGCATGGGGCAATGAATTATAGGAAATATAACATCGGAAATACAACATTTGAAGCAGTAAGGATGGTGGAAGGAATGTAGATAATGGTTTGGAAAGATTAGGTTTGGAGGTAAATTTTGGAAGGAGCTATGCTATGTTCAGGAAAGTCTTGCAGGCTTTTCTCTCCCTTTTCCTTCTTCTTCCTTTCTGGTTTTCCTTCCTTCCCGCCCCCTTTCTTTCCTTTCCTTTTCCCTCTCTCCCTCCCTTTCCTAGATTTTCTATAGTCACATAAAGTCAGGTCTGAATATATTAAATGAAAGATATGAAATTGTCCAGGGGAACAAAGAGGACAAATGGAAGGGGAAGGGGCAAGAAAGGGAAGGTGGGGGAACAAGGGGGACAAATGATCAATATACAATGTATGAATTTTTTTTTGAGACAGAGTCTCACTATGTAGCCCTAGCTGGCCTGGAAAGTGATATGTAGACCAGGCTGGCCTTGAACTCACAGGAATCCATTTGCCTCTGCTTCCAGAGTACTGTGATTAAAGGCCTGCACCATCCAGGCCCAACATCCTGTAACAAATTTTAATAGTTTTATTTACTTGTTTACATATTTATGCTTTAAAAAGATTTATCTTTATTTTACCTGTATGAGTGTTCTGCCTGCATGTATGTATGTGAACCATGTGTGTGCCTGATGCCCACAGAGACCAGAGAAAGTGCTGATTCGCCTGGAACTGTAGTTAGATAGTTGTGAGCCTTCATGTGGTTGCTCAGAACCAAACTCATGTCCTCTGCAAGAGTAGTAAGCACTCTTAACTCCAGCTCCCCAAATGATTTTTTTTTTCGTCTTTTTGAGACAGGTTTCCCTATGGCCCCAGCTGGCCTGGAACTCACTATGTAGACCAGGCTAGCCTTGAACTCACAGAGATCAGCCTGCCTCTGCCTCTTGAGTGCTGGGATTAAAGGCATGTGCCATCATGCCTGGCCTTCCTGAATGAATTTTTTAAAATAATTTTAAGGGGCTGAAGAGATGGCTTAGCAGTTAACAGCACTGATTGCTCATGCAGAAGACCCAGGTTTGATTCCCAGCACCCACATGGTGGCTATGAACCGTCTTTAACTCCAGTTCAACAGGAATCTGAAGCTCTCTTCTGACCTCTGCAGCATTGCACGACACAGGTGCACTCACATACATGCAGGCAATGCACTCATATACATAAAATAAAAGTAATAAATAAATAAAATAATTTTAAAAAGAGTAGGCAAGACAGTTCAGTTGGCAAAGACACCTACCACCAAGCTTGAAAACCTGAGTTCTGTCCCTGGGGCCCATATCTAGCAAGTTGTCCTCTGACCTCCACATGAACACCATGGCACACATCCCTTTCTCCCTCCCACACAAATAAATGTAATTTTAAAAAATTATTTGTATTTTATTTTTTATTATTTTTATTTTATATGTATATGTGTGTTTCCTGCATGTAGGTAAGTGCACCCATGTCATGCAATGCCCCAGAGGTCAGAAGAGGCTGTTGGATCCCCTGGGACTGGAGTTACAGACAGTTGTTAGCTGCCACGTGGGTGCTGGGATTGGAACCCGGTCTTCTGCAAGAACCACCAGTGTTCTTAACCACTGAGCCATCTCTCCAGCCCCCTATTTTTATTTTATGTGTATGAGTGTTTTGCCTGCATGTGTGTGAGTGTACCATGTCAGACAGTTGTGAGATACCATATGGGTGCTGGGAACCAAACTTGTGTCTTCTGAGAAGGCAGCCAGTGCTCTTAAGCATTCAGCCATCTCTCCAGCTCCCAATAAGTATAATTTAAACTTTTTTATTAAAAAAAAGCTGAGCATAGTGGTCCACAGCTAATCCCAGTACTAGGGAGGCTGAGGCAGGAGGATTGCTATGAATTCCTGGCTAGCATGGGCTATAGTGTGAAACCTTGTCTCAAAAAATAATTTTTAACGCAAACAAAGCAAAAAATAATGTATTCCTTAGGCCTCTCCTCCTCACTTCTCCTCTGACACCAGTGATACTGATGGTGACCTCTCCTAACCAAGGGGGAGAGAGATCTTTTTGCACTTCCAACCTTCCAAGGCTCCTCCCATCTGTTTAAAGTGTCTTGGCTTTTAAACAATTTGACTTTCAAGTGTAGCCTCAGAGTTGTTTAAGTCATTTCTTCCTCTTGAAATTGCCAAAAGACAGAGTTATCTATCAACCCCTCTCCCCAAATACCTAGTCCAAATTCGTTTCTTGCTCACTGCCTCTGCACTAGCCTTGGACCCTTTCCCTTGGGAGCCGAGTGTAACTATGTACCTGAGTGAGCAGGTGCAGACCAAAGCTTTCTGCTCAAATACCGATGTGACTTTCACGCCCATCTTGACCAACCAGGAACTGGGCGCTCCCGACACGACTACACTGGCTAACCCCAGTTCTCGCGCACCCCAAGTCTTGCTGAAAAGCTCACCGAGCTTTCGTGTGACATTGTCATGCAACACAGCTCCAATACGGTATTTCAGGGGCCTCCAGGACTCGCCATCGTTGCAGCTACCGCCCGCTAGATCCAACGGTCGCCTCGACAATCCAGCAGCGCGGAGTGGCAGGCCGGGTCCACGGTTGCCCCGGCAACCGGGCCACGCTCTGAACGCTCCAGCCACTGGTCCCGCCCAGCGGCCGTGCGTGTGTGCGTCGTCTCTATGGTGGCGGCGGATTCCGAGGGACCTGACGATCCTGGAGTCAGGCAAGGGGGATTTGGGGCTGCGGGTGTGGCCTCTGACCCTGGAGGGGTCCTTCAGGTACCCAAGCTGAGGGAGGAAGGCCTGGAGGCTTCGTTCTGCCTTTTTAGCTCTAATATTTGATCCTGCCGGGTCTTTCTCATCACCATTCCTGTGGGTTTCCCCAGTCGCCAGGTGACTCAACCCTGGGATTCTCTCCTGCTCCACCAGGTCCTCCCTCCACGTGACTCTTCCCCAACACGTTCCTCGGGGAACCCCATCACTGCAGAGATCTCTCTTGCTCAGTATCTTATGTTGCTTATCCCTACCCTTTCCCCTCTTCGAATCTCCTCTGTGGCCTTCTCCCTGCTTACCCGTTTGATTCTGGTACTTCTACCTCAGGATGTTCCGTCGTGAGTGCTCCATCCCCCTTCGGGGCTCCGCTGCTGCCCTATCTAACAATCTCAGTGTGCTGCAGCTTCCAACCCGCAATCTCACGCATTTTGGGGTGGTTCATGGACCGAGCGCCCAGCTTCTCAGCGCTGCCCCTGAAGGTGTGCCCCTGGCCCAGCGCCAGCTCCACGTTAAAGAGGGCGCTGGAGTGAACTCCCTACTCATCACCCAGGTGAGGCAAGTTGGAGCAGTGTTGCTGAAATCAGCTCTACCCGCTGTTCTTTCTCTGCCAATCTCAGAGGCCTTTCCCTAACCCCCCAACTCCACCCTCTTGACCCTTTGTGTCCTCTGCTGTGATCCATCTCCCTCCAGGTCCACTGGTGTGTCCTCCCCTTCCGAGTACTGCTGGTTCTCACCTCACATCGAGGAATACAGGTAAGCAGAGAACCCTCCTGCCCTCCACCTCCAGCTCCCCAGACCCTCCCCACTTCCTTCTAAACAAAAACATTTTGCGGATATAGCTCACCCAACCTCTATTTCTCATCTCCATACTTTCCATTTTCTCCACTCTCAAAGAGTCACCTCCAATGTCTGTCTCCTTTACTGTGTGACCTTGGGTACATGTAGCCTTAGTGTCTTCCCCTGAAAAATAGGGATTAAAAATAGTGCCTGCCTCCCAGACCGATTTTGAGGATTGCTTGGACTCAGGCTGACCTGTGTGAAGTGCTTAATACAGCTCAGCAAGGATAAGCTGGATCACCCTCCCATCCCTGCCCCCATCTTCCAGATGTATGAGTCTGATGGTTCCATCATGGTCTATTGGCATGCCTTGGACTCCAGAGATGCCTCCTCAGGTATCTGCAGGACCAAGTGGAACAGGGGTTGGGTAGGGGAGTGTTCGCTAAGGCTGAGGGGGGGGAGGGCTGATTCTGAGAGTTGTTTCTTTTCATCCTCAGCACAAGCTGTGTTTGCCCGAGGAATTGCTGCAAGTGGACACTTCATCTGTGTGGGTGAGGGAGCTAAGGGTAGAGCATTAGGGTATACTAGGTAGAGAGATGTGGGTTTTCAGCCAGAAGGATGCTGGGAGTTGAGGAAATTAAGAAGGGTTAGAGGGGCTGGAGAGATGGCTCAGCAGTTAAGAGTACTGGCTGCTCTTGCAGAGGACCTGGGTTTGAATCCCAGCACCCACATGGCAGATCTCTGTGAGTCTGAAGCCAGCCAGATCTACATAAGGAGCTCCAGATCAGCCAGAACT